TGGGCTGCCAAAAGAATCAGTAGATCTGTTTTGAAAGAAGTGCAGCTAGAGAGTGCTCCTTGGAAGCCAGGATGGCCAAACTTCGTCTCTCATACTTTGGACATATTGTCAGGAGGGAGCAGTAGCTGGAGAAGGATATCATGTTTGGTAAGGTGAAGGGTCAGAGAAAAAGAGGAAGACCCCCAACAAGATGGATTGTTCAAATGGCAACATGGATGGACTCAATCGTGGCAATGGTAGTGCGGTTGGCCCAGGATCGGGCAGTGTTTCATTCTGCTGTGCATAAGGTCGCTATGAGTCAGTACTGCCTCAATGGCACCTAACAACAACAACCTGAAGCTGGATCCTTACTGCTATTCTGCACTTCCTTTAGTCCCATTTACTCCATATCACTCACCATACCATTCTTCTCTTTTCAAGTCTACAGGTCAATGGGTAAGATTATACCTCAATCTGGTATTAATATTCTAACAATACTCATCATTTCCTCCAAATCAGCTTTCTCCTGTTATCCCAAGCATCAAGCCAACCCAATACCATCTCACATCGACCCTATAGAGGGTTTTTGGCTACAAACCACTACAGGAACAGACAGTCTCATCTTTCTCCAGAGTGGATTTGAAGCACCTGTAGCGTAGTGGTTACGAATCGGGCTGCTAACCTCAAGGTTGGCAGTTTGAAACTATCAACCGCTCTGCGGCAGAAAGATGAGGCTTTCTGCTCCCGTAAAGATTTACAGCCTTGGAAACCCTGTGCAGGGTCACTGAGTCGGAACCGACTCCACGGTACTTAACAACAACCTTGTAGTTAGCAGTCCGATGCTTAATGCACTGTGCCAGCAGGGCTCTGTTTGCAGCCTTCTCCTACACTATTTCTCTTCCATGTCCAGGTAGTTCCTTGTTACTCCTGTCCTGATGCATCACTGATTGACCTTTTCTCTGCTCATGCTGTTCACTAGCCAGGGTGGCTTCTTCTTTGGGCCTGTCCTTATTCCACCTGTAGGTCTATCAGAAGTTGTAGACAAATAGCTATTCTTCATGATTTCATCACCAGGAAATGATTTCTACACATTTTCATCATCTTATCATTGATTGCCACTCTTGCAGAATGCACCATTCTACCTTGAATTTTAGTTGTTTGCATATAGGTCTAGGGAATTCCTTGGTGGCACAAATAGTTATGCATGCATCTACTAGTCAAAAGGTTGGAGGTTCAAACCCACTTAGAAGTGCCTTGGAAAATAGGCCTGGTAACCTGTTTCTGGAAGGTCACAATGCTTAACAGGTGTCACTGAGATGGATGAGGAAGAATGGTCTGATCTCACTTCTGAAAATCAGCCTGTGAAAACCCTATGAATCAGTGGTCTAGTCTGCAACTTATCATGGGGATGGTGTTGATTCACGGAATATCTATTCAAGGATGTTGATCTTTTGATACAGTACTGCCTCTGCCTTCTAGATAAAACAGCCTGCGGTTAAGCTTTTAAGTTCTCAGTACTTTCGAAAGGCTTGGTTTGTTTTGGTTCAGTGACAAGGAGGCCATGCATCTACCCAGGCATCTCCTTTCCATTTCTCAGGGAATTCCCTCAGCTGGGGCAGCTCTTGCCAGAAACCTATTACCCAATCAGTCCTTCAGGCCTCTTCAGCAATCAAACCAGCACTTTTAACAGGTTGTAAGCAAGGTATGGCACTAGTTCATCTTAGTATTTCCTTATGATTTTTAAAAGTTGACTTTGTTACATATACAATAAAGTCCTTTTTTTTTCATTGTGGTAAAATACACATTTACCATTGTAAAGCACACAACTGAGTGACATCTAATACATTCACAATGCTGTGGAACCATCAGTACTATAATAATCCCCAAAGGAAATCTTATACTCATGAAGCAGCCACTTACCCTTCTCTTTCCCCAGTTCCTGGCAAATACTAATCTGCTTCTCTGTAAATTTGTCTATTCTGGATTTGATTAAATGGAATCATAGAATATGGCCTTGATAGCAGACTTATCCCACTTGGCGTATTTTCAGTTTCACCCATTATATAGCATGACTAACGATTCCTCTTTAAGGCTAACTACTCCATTATGTGGACATACATTTTGTTTAGCCATTCACTGGTGGTAGTGATATGCTGTGGAGTCGGTTCTGACTCACAGCGACCCTGTATAGACATCCTCATCTGTCTCTCGTGGAACAGCTGACAGTTTTGAACTGCTGACCTTGAAGTTAGCAGCCCAACTTTTAACCACTATACTACCAGAGCTCCTTTTCATTGTTGTTATGTGCCGTCGAGTCGGTTCCGACCCATAGCGACCTTGTATAGGGTTTCCGAGGGTGTAAATCTTTACCGGAGTAGAAAGCCTCCATCTTTCTCCCGCGGAGCAGCTGGTAGTTTCGAACCGCTGACCTTAAGGTTTGCAGCCCGATTAGTACCCACTACGCTACCAGAGCTCCTTTTCATTAGTTGATGGATATTGGGTTGTTTCTACCTTTTGGCTATTATGAATAGTGCTGCTATGAGCAAGTTTTTGTTTGAATGTTTAAACGATTGTTTTTTGGTATATATCCAAGTCCTGGTATGGTACTGTGGGTTAATGCGCTCAATTGCAATGTCAGTTTGAACTGCAAGGTCAGTGGTTCAAGCTTACCAGATGTTCCTCAGAAACCCTATACAAGGTTGAATGGGTCAGAACTGATGCGACAGCACTTAATAACAATCTGTCTTCAATTGCTGGGTTATCAGTACAGTATTTTTTCTTTACATTGCTGAGTTCAAACTGTCCTTTTCAAGAAATCAGTAAAGGCTTCAGGAATTTATTTGATAGATTTAATCAAAACACTCCAAATGAGTTCTGTCCCTGTCTCCAGTTCAAATTTGTACATTAAGTTGAAGTAATTAGGTATAGTTCATATCTAACGTTAATTAAATGTTGTCTTTCTATACATATAAAAGTTGGGAAGAATCTACTATGCATAAATTCACAAATAGTAGGCTTCACAAAAATTACCCAGGTATCTTTTAAATAATGCAGGTTTTCATGTCCAAAGATTCTAATTCAGTAGGTCTGGACCCTAACGGTACACTGGTTAAACTGCTTGGCTGCTAACAAAAAGGTCCATTTTGAACTCATCAGCCCCTCTGTGAGACTTGATGTGGCAGTCTGCTTCTGCAATGATCTAAAGCCTTGGAAACCTAATTGGGTGTTATGAGTCAAGATCAGTTCCTCAGTGGAGTTAGGGTTTGGGTTACATCCTGTGGATCTCTATTAAACATTTCTGGTGACGTGACGTAGGTGGTCTTCCCACTACACTATGAGAACACTAGTGCGTGGTTGCTTTTCCTTAGCAGAAGTCAAATTACTGGAGTAAGATAGCTGTCATCTATAAACGCTGCAACTGGCATGCCAGTTTGCTAGGGGGAAACTTAATTCACTCTACAGTAGCACTACTTCCTTCCTTGTAATAGGAAAAGTCTGCCTAAGAAACATTATTAAAACAAAATACCGTTGAATCAACTACCACTCACCAAGTCAAGACTCCTAGTACAAATATGTTACCAGCAGCCTTAAGCAACTTTTGGTTTAAAAAATGTGGCCAGTTTACATTTTGTTTTTAAATGAGAATCTTTTCAAGTTAAGAAACTATCTGCTAGTCAGAATGAGTTCTTATCGTTAAGTGCCACTGAATCAGTTCTGACCCACAGCAACGCTGTTTAGGGTTTCCAAGGAGCAACTGGTGAGCTTGAACCACTGATTTAGCAGCTCAAATAGTCTTTGCAGTCCAGCACATTAACCCACCAACAGCGCCATACCAGACTCCAAAAGACTTTTATAATGACTCCAGTAGAGTTATTATAAACATACAATTACCTAGTGAGACTTACGTCAATTCCTAATCAATTAGCATTATTTAATTTTTAGATGCAGCTAAGTCAGTCCTAGAAGGTGATTCTACTCTTAAAAACATAAACTATCTTAGAGACAATTAACCATATTTTATAGATGCTCAAAACACTTATATTTTTCCTTTATACGAATAAGCAAAAGTCCTATAAATTACAATGTGTAGGGCACCATATAACCCCCCCCTCAATTACACCAGGATCTGTTTCATCAGTGAGACAACTGCTGTATCATCCCAATTATATAGCATCTGCCACGTATATGCTCTTCTGTGTGGTCAACCAAATTTAGAGAAGTACAGATCACAGCAAAAATTAAAGTTTTCATCTTTAATGAAATGACTTTGGAAATAACGTACATTTCCATGACACCAACACTACAGTTTTCGGAGTCACAGTAAGATACACAGAATTATATCCATTCCGTAATTAATATGAATGCCAACATCTCCAACAGTAATTTTTGTTACATGGCAAACAAAATCAAGAAAGCAACCATCAAACAAAAGAGACCCATAGCTTCAGACAAGGCAAATCCCAGGATAGCATATGAGAACAGCTGCTGCTTCAGAGAAGGGTTTCTAAAAGAAACAACACATGATTGTTATTTTGAAGTATTATTTGAGCTGATTAAGATGATGAATATTAAAGAATCACAGATTATTAGTATGCAGAATTATCTTTGTAAACTGTCAAGTATATTGGAAGAGTATTTGCCTAGATCTCTTTTGTTTCTCCTTTTCCCTCAATCCCAATCATACAGGATATAAAGTTAGGGGGATGTTTCTGTCAGTGTATATAGTTCTCAACCATTTTGAGGGACTCTGACTTTCTTAATATGGTTATTATTCCTCTGAAAGCATGTTTTATACTTTTTAAGACATGATAGCCTAGAAATTAGGTATTAGTTACAAAGCAAGTTAGCTTCCCATTCAGTAGTTGGTACATAATTGGTTGTTGCATTCCTCATGTGTCAGCACTCAAACTAGAGACAGAAAAGATTACCTGGCATAGCCAATGATGAGGCTGCCAAAGACGGTTCCAATACCAGCACCAGAACCAGCCACTCCTACTGTTGCAGCACCTGCACCAATAAATTTGGCAGCAGTATCAATGTCTCTGCTGATTGCACTGGTCCGAAACTCCCTTCGGATTAGTGGAGACACACCATTCTGGGCCCCATTAAACACTCCTGAGCCCTAGAACAACAGGAAACAAAGGAAAAGGTCAAATCAGTAATTAACCACTACTGTTCTGTCAAAATGGTAACTACACAGGTTTACAATTGAGTTTAAACAGGAGGCAGTAAGCACAAAAGAAAAGGTAAGGGATAGAATGAAATAACATATCTTGGTGTGGCGCTGTGGGTTAATGTGCCATACTGCAAAGCCACTTGAACAGCAAGGTCAGCGGTTCAAGCTCATCAACTGCTCCTCGGAAACACTATACAGGGTCACTATGGGTCAGGAACCAACTCGAAGACACTTAACAACATACCTTATAAGGCTGCTGACCAAGTAAAAACAGCATACGTGAACTGGCCAGACAGAAGCTTTTCAAATAAACCGACAGAACGATCATTTTAAATACAGACAACTCAAGATTATATTCTTAAATATAAATACCAAATATAGTATTTCTTGGCCAACTCAAGTGGATTAAGTTTTGGATATAGGAAAATTCTGATTCATCTTCTGCATATTTTTTTGGATAAAAGGGTGGAAAAGGATTGCCCTCAAATTAAGAGTTATTTTTTCCTACTCTAATCAAAGTCAAAAGTCCTAAACACACAAATCTGTAAGGCCTACGTGGTAGTGTTATCCGATGTATCTAATGACTGTTTTTACCTCTCCAGTCCAAGCTTCTGGTCGAGATAACACTGATGCAGAAATTGGTCTGTATGCAACTCTGGATCCAGCTCGGATCTAGTAATGAAAAACAGATTCCAAGTATTAGGTAAAAAAACAGACAAGACTTCTGTGACTCCTCTTATATCAGGAGTTGTAAGACAACAAAGAGCAAAAATGAGCCAAAAAGGATTTGATGTCTTAGCTTACATTTATTATGCATTGACTTTGACTCATCTTGGCTGTTTGGTCAATTTTCAATACATAAAGCAATTTTAATAAAGCTTTGATGTTGTGAATGAAGTTTTAAAGCTAGATGTACAATCTCGTTGTAATAATCTGAACAAAAAAAAATCTAATTTAGAAGAGTAAGTATTGCTTTTAAAAATTAAATTACCGTATCGCCACAATTCAGTTCAGGAAAAATAACAATAAACATCCATATTGATTAGTAAGCTTAAATGGACCAACAAACATCATGAGCGTCACTATAAATGTTTGTCATTTAAAATAGCTCGGTTAATATGAACTCCCACCATTTCCACAATATACCTATGGGCCCATTATATCATGATATACAAAAACAGTTTAATTCCACACCAGCTTAAGAAGAATCGGTGAAATACTCTGAGCAGAAGGACTTTATTCCGTCCAGCTTCTCTGTCCTTGAGTGTCCACTAAACTAAGGTCATAGAAAATCCCTTCTGAACCAAGCCCTGATTCTCAGAGACAAACCCCCCAGATTTTCACTTCACCTACAGTCTCCAAAATGGTTATGGAAATAAAGATTCCCAAAGTAGAAAAGAGCTTTTCGGCTCCCGCACCACCTTCCTCCGCCCACACTAGGCGAGAGGCAAAGTCCCTCCCTCTGCAGCAGCGGGTTTGACCTACAGACTGACAGTGGCGTGAGTTTCTTCGGTGAACTGGGCCTCCGAAGGCCCCTACAGTCTCCACAGCACCCCAACTTTCGCGCCGACCCCGAGACAACAACGAGCGGGGAGACGTTGGAGGGGCAAGGAGGCCTTGACCTACACCGAGGGGGCCTGACAGCAAGGCCTTGGCAGTTCTCCACCGCCCTAGTGGCGGGGCGAAGGGGAGCAAGATGTCCCGCAGGATCAGGAGGAAAGGAAGAAAAGGGCATTGAGGTTACGGGACGTGGGGAAAGCTGTTCCCAGGAGGGTGCTGCGCCCCGCCCGAGGTTGCCCATACAACAACGTGGACGCTCCCGGGCCAAGAGGCTCGGCCCTCGGCCTCCCCATCCCCCCACCCCAGCCCAGCTTGGGCTACGTACCAGAGCGGGGGTGCAGGCGAGCTTGGCGCAGGCGAACATTTTCTATTCTTCGGGGAGGCGCGGCTGCAGGACTTGGGTGACAGGCGGCGTGGGCTCCTCTCCCGCTTCCTCGCTGCGGAGGTAAAGAGGCTTAAGGTCAAGTGCCCTCCCGGGGCCTGCCCTTCCCGCCTGAGACCCGTGGGCTTTCGGGCACGCCGGCAGATTGGGCCCCACGCCCAGAGAGATGCCAGAAAAATGAATGGGTCCCCACTGGGCGCTGCTCCGCCCGACCAAGGCCCGGCTCCCGCGCCCTCGCCTTACCTTCCCCGGCGGCAGCAGCTGCGGCAGAGGTCGAAAGAGTGGGGCTAGGCGCGCAGGCGCAGTCCTGCTCTTATCCACGCCGCAGCACCCGGATGGAGAAGGCGGGCAATCGGGTGTAGAAGGGAAGACGCTCAAGGTCATTTTGTAACAACTTTATTGGTAACCAGTAAGGAAGGACAGAGGCAGTCACCCAATGACGGGCTGGTGAGCGGAAGCTGGTTAACAGGCACCCCAAAGAAGCGATTGAAGAAGAGTAGCCAGAGGCTCGAGAGCTTTTGGGATACATTTTTGTGAAATTTGGCCTTTTATCAGTTGCTATGATTCTATGTTGTTAAGTGCCGTCGCGTCGGTTCCGACCCATAGCGACCCAGTATAGGGTTTCCAAGGAGCAGCTGATGAGCTTGAACCTTGCGGTTCCAACCGACTTTTCAGTCCAGCGCATTAACCCACAGCGCCACACCAGAACTCCTAATTCGGTTCGACAGCAATGGGTTTATTTCTGTTTAGTAAAAAGCCCTTTTCCTGGGCATTCACCTCGATAAAATAGGAGTTGTGTTAGTGTGTACGAGTGTACTTACATTCACTATTTGATGGTGTCCTGTGGTGCTGTCGGCAGTTCAAACTCATCAGCCGCTCCTTGAAAACCCTATATACAGTCGCTGCGAGTAGGAACCGACTTGATGGCACTTAACTACAACAATAACTTTATGGAAGAAGTTAGGACCTCCAGCAAAATAAATATGTATTTGAGAGAATCCAGGAAAGAGTTCCAGAAATCTGGCTAATGTTTTGCCTGAAAGAGTGCCTGACCTAGAAGTAATGGGAATGAGTAGATGAAAGAACTTTGTGACGTTAGGCACAAAGTTTCCTCTGGATAAAGTAAAAGAGGTCAACGTGTCTTCCAGTCCCATGACTGAAAGAATTAAGGGGGATTGTACTATACTTCATGTAGGATCTAGGACTGAAAAAAGTCTGGTTATTTAAAAAAGCCACCAAACACCTGTTTTTGGTAACTTTTGGGCAAATCATTATCTTCAACTGAATACAGAAATGTCTCACAAAAATGATCCGCCCTTAACCTCTAGTTTTTATATCCTTGATTTCTGTGAATTTGACTTAGTAGTTTTAACAAAAGTTTTCTGGAAGTCAATATAAAAGATGAAACATCTGGAATGCCCAACCCAGGGAATGAATAGAGACTGACAACTAGCCAGTTCTGTCTGGTGTCCTAGCATCAATTCAGAGAACAAATCTTTTTTTAATTAACACAAAGATGCAGTATAATCTAACAGCAACTATGAGGAGAAAGGCTCAGAACTAAAACTTGAAGAATGAATAAGGCCTTGTCATTGATCCAGTTTCAAATGTAAGTAGTTCACAAATTACATGAAAGCTAATCATTAGCCCATAAAATAGAGATAATGTACACGTTCAGTTTAAAGAGAAATTGGTATACTGTCTTAGCTATTTAGTTCTAACCTGAAGTACATGGTGTCTAAAATAGAATAAGCACTATTGCCCTGTACTTAAAAAAACTATTGCTATAAAATCATAGAAACCTTTATTAAGCAAAAATATCAACATGTGAAGCTATTGTTTCTCAATATATCCTGCACTGAGGACTACATACTTCCGAAGACAGTATTTTCAGCTCTTTAATTCTCTGAAGAAGTCTGCGATTTTTAAATTGACACCATATCAAAATGGCAGTTTTGACATTTAGGGACTCATATTGTGTTCCTTTTCAATGTTCTTTGAGTTTGGGGAACAAAAAGAAGTCTGAAGGGAAAAGATGAGCGCTGTAGGATGGAGGGAATAAGGTTTTCCAATGAAATTCTTGTAAGACACTTTTGCTCCCCTCAAAGAATGAGCAGGTGCTATGATGGGAAACATTCTCTAGCTACAACCTTCTTGCCTTTTTTTCTTCACTACTGCAGTTTTCAATTTTCTTAAATTTCTTTGTAACAAATTACCCTGATTATCCTGTACCCTTTAATAAAATTTGTCAAAATTGTTATTGTTAAATTCCATGAAGTCAGTTCCAAGTCATAATGACCTTATATAGGGTTTCTGAGAAGTGGTTGGTGGATTTGAACTGCCAACCTTGTGGTTAGCAGTCCAATGTTTATCCTATGGCACCAACCAGGACTTCACTGTTTTGATTGGACCTTTTATTTTAATACATACGGTGTGCAGGTTAATCAGTACTGGGCTGAGAATCACAAAGTCAGCAGTTCAAACACCAGCTGCTCCTCAGAAACGCTATGCAGGGTTGCTATGAGTCGGAACTGACTCAATAGCACTTACCAATAATGAGATTAAAACAAGTATATTCATTACTGAGAGAACTTGTCTGCAACCATCCACTGATTGTAAAGACATGTCTAAACACCTTTTGTTTGGAATAAATCTGTGCATGTATGAAGTGGAACCCTAGTAGTAATACTTTTTGACTCAGCAATATCGATCCTTTTAGGGAGACATTATTCCTTAAAAATGGATTTGTATGCAGAAATGGCTTAAGGGAAGTTCCACTCTCGTCACTAAATCAGTAGCAGTAACTGTTGAGAGGGGCCAGGGGAGAAGCCAGGATTTGGACAAGGCTTGTTGTTGCCTGTGGCAGGAGAAGTGCAGCCTATGCTATCAACACATCAATAAACACATGAACTGGCTTAGGAGACGAGCGTACACTTCCTTTGTGGGGACTATCTGTTAAGCTTCTTAAGTATTTGTGGAAGAATATCAGGTGTTCAAAGAATGGATGTTCTATTTCTGAGAATTGTATGTGTGTGTGTGTAAGTGTGAGAGAGACAGAAGTAATCCAGTAATTTCATGCTAGTTCCACAGTCAACACTCATGGAAGCAGCAGTCAAAAAATCAAACAATGTATTGCAGGAGGTAATTCTGCTGCAAAAGACCTCTTTGAAGTGTTCAAAAGCAAAGAGATTGGTTTGAGGACTAAGGTGCATATCACCCAAACCACGATATTTTCAATCACCTTATATGCATGTGAAAGTTGGACAACAAATAAATAAGACCATATAAGAATTGATGTATTTGAATTATGGTGTTGGAGAAGAAAATTAAAAGTATCATGGACTGGCAATGAAGAAATGGGCTGAATTCAACCACGTTCCGTAGACTTCTGTTGACTTGGAGATGAGAAAGAGAAGAGGAAGTGCTGGTTGGTTCAAAGTGTAGTGAGATCTGGGGACACCTGAGCCCATGGACAAGCATATAGCCACAGAGGGCTAGAGCTGAGAGTGAAGCATCCAGTTGATATGAAGTGAGGGGAGATGCACAAGAACACCCAAACTTGTAGATAGTCCCTATTTGACCTAGCCTTGATGGCTTGATAATCAGAACTCGACTGTTGTTGTTGTTAAGTACCATCGAGTCAATTCCGACCCATAGCGACCCTGTATAGGGTTTCCAAGGAGCAGCTGGTGAGCTTGAACCACTGACCTTGAAGCTCAAACGACTTTGCAGTCTGACGCATTAGCCCACAGTGCCACACCAGGACTCCAGAACTTGACTAGAGGAAGTTAAAAAAGAAAACAATTTTTGATAAAGGAAATGAGGGCAAATTGTTGTAATTTGATGAACTTGACCTATACTCGTGGAGATCGTGGTTATGTGCTGTGGAGTCGGTTCCGACTCATAGCGACCCTATACAGGGTTTCTGAGGCTGTAAATCGTTACGGGAGAAGAAAGCCTCATCTTTCTTCTGTGGAACAGCTGGTAGTTTCGAGCTGCTGACCTTGAGGTTTGCAGCCTGATTCATAACCACTATGCTACCAGAGCTTGTTATTCAGGGAGTAGTAACTTTAAATACCAGCAGAGAGGGAAGGAGTCTTCACATCAAGTATCAATCTCATTCCCTCTGTACACAGGGTAGATAGGGACGGGCA